TTCTAAAATAGTGAATCAAATGTGAATCTATTAAATTCTCTTCTTAGTTACTAATATTTGTTTGAGCCACAATCAGCAGCACTGGTCAACAGAAATACAATGCATGCCACATATCTAATTTTAAATTTTCTAATAGCCACATTTTTAAATTTATTTTTAGAGAGGGAAGGGAGGGAGAAAGACAGAGAGAAAGAGAAACATCAATGTACGGTTGTTGGGGGCCATTGCCTGCAACCCAGGCATGTGCCCTGACTGGGAATTTAACCTGCGATGCTTTGGTTCGCAGCCCACACTCAATCCACTGAGCTATGCCAGCCAGGGCTCTAATAGCCACATTTTACAAAGTAAAAAAGAAAGAGATGAAATTAATTTTGATAATATACTTTGTTTAACCTCATATATCCAAAATACTATCATGTCAATCTGTAATCAGTGTTAAAAATTAAAATATTTTACTTTTTTTTGCACCAAGCCTTCGAAATCTAGTATGTATTTTACACTTACAACACATCTCAGTTCTGACTAATCACATTTGAAATCCCCCCAAACTAGCAGCTACTGTACTGCACAGAACAGTTCTAAATGATTCAGAGACAATTTGTCTTCACATCTAGAAAAACTGTCTTCCTATCTAAGGAAACTAGTTTCAGATTTTTATTTTTCAGCTAGAAGCGATTATGGTTAACTCCTTTTAACACCTCAATTAACTTTCCCAAGATAAAGTAGGAGTGGATTTGGTACAAAGTACTCAAAACTCAGAGAATTCTTTAGAAGGCAGCTTTTATCTGCCTAAAAATACCTTTGGAAAGGAAGCCAAAATAGGTATTATTTCTCCCTTCCTACTCTATGAGGACAGATTTCACTTGCTGCCTCCTCTTTCATGAATTTCCTCTTTACTCATCTGGGAGACCCTAGTTTCTGACTCAGGAAGTGGCTAAAGCAAAAATATCTGACATGTTTCTTTTCAGTGGTAGATATATTGTCTCCAGGGATAAGCCAGGAACCTGACCTCAGGCATGACTGTACTCAGGGTTTTCTGTAGAGCATTAACACCTACTACACAAAAAGGGCTGGAGAAAGTTTTGCCAAAGAGAGGAGGGACACATTAGGCTTCTGACCATCTGGTGTTTATTAAGAGGTGGATTCTTAGATAAGGGCAGGGTCACATAACCATCTTTTTCAATCTGGCTCTGCTGGATATACAAACCTGACTTAATTCTGTAATACAATTCACTAACGCCCAACAGAACACCTTTAGGGATGCAGTGGAATGGGCAGTCTCCTTATAGCCTAGTCAGCAACTATGTCCATTCTTCCTAAGGCTTCTCTTCCCTGTCTGGAGGACCTGCTAACACTGGGTCACAATGCGGTGACATGAAGAGGATCTAGGAGGGGGATAGCAGGCCTGTCAGGAAGAGGAAAAAAAGTTCTTCCTCTTCTTAGGGGAAGTGGGGGAGAACAGGAAAACAAAAGGCAGTATATAGCAGAGGTAGCAAGGTTGACAAGAGGAAGATGAAATGAGTGTTTAAGAAACGTGCACATGCACACACAAAATGAGTCATTACTCTTGTTGTCAGTTACATGACAGGCCAGCAAATGAATACATTCACTCCCAGGTGAGAAAGAATGGTATTGAAAGGTTCCTTAGACATCCCAGTGAGGCTGCATAGGAAGTAACAGGAGAGGAGAGGGGATTGGAATAATGAATGAGCAACAAGGAGAGTTCTAATCTGTCTCCTGTATAATTTACAAAATAATTTTCTTCTGGCAATATAAAACTCCTATTGCAATGCCATGTTCAAAACAGATGAACCTATATAGTTCTAATGGTGTCAATACTAAGTCTCAAGCTCCTACTTGATTCCAAGTAACAAGTGCTCAAGGGACTAGATGTTAAATCTCAAACAATTTAAGATCCAATTTAAGTAAGACAGCAGATCTAGCTTGAATCACTCTTTCCCTCAGATCTCAATCAATATATTATTAAAAAGAAGTTTTTAAAAATAGGAAGAGTTTATCTCTCTTTTGATAGGTAAAGGTAGCATGAATTTATGTATGGGGAGGAGAGAAAGAGAGAGAGAAGCTATAGGAAGGTGCTCAACACTCGAATATAGTATAATGAAATTTAAGAATAGAAACAAAGGATCTATAGTTCTGCCTCTCTCAATCTAGCCAAAAATCTATTTCAGATTGAAGATTTAGACTCCGGTTACTCCTCTGGGCAACTGAGTAGATGAGGGTGGACCCTTCTCAAACTGTCAACAGTATTTTCTGACCATATGATACACCCAAGGCAATTTTGCAAAGTGCAGGCCATCACAATGCAACCAGTCAGCAGAGGCCCACAAAAGAAGGCCTCGTGCTCTTTGGTAGGTAGTTCTCTCCTATCTGAAGTTTTTTGGCAAAAACCCATTATAGTAAATAATCAAGCATAAGATGAACATGGCACTGGCCAGGTAGCTCAGTTGGTTAGAGCATTGTCCCAATCCGCTATGGTTATAGGTTTGATCTCTGGTCAGGGCACATAAAAGAAGCAACCAATGAATGCATAAATAAGTGAACAACAAAGTGATGTTTCTCTCTCCCTTCCCCCTTCCTGACACTCTCTAAAATCAATAAGCGAAAATTTTTTAAAAAGTAAGATGAACATGCATTTGTTCTCTAATCCTAGAACATTAGGATTAGGAGGTTAAATCTCAACCCTTGAAAAGGGGTTAAGGAACAGGGAAAGATGGCCACATTACACAGTGTCAAGAGCCCTGGGGAAAACGATCTAGATCTTGGTTCTAGCATGCAACCTCTGAAAAGCAGCAGGATGTTTCTAAGACTTAGTTTATTTGTCTGTAAGAGGAGACTGGAATTCTAGCTCTTATAATCTATGATGACTACAGAATTGCTTCTAAAAACTAAGTAGTGGGATTTGAGAAATGAAAAAATTAGCAAAGATGACTCACTATCAATATTTCTGATATATCTTTTACTATACTCTAAGAACGGCTTCTGTTTATTACCTTTATGGAAGATCAGCGCAATAAGAGGGGCTGGTAATTCAGCAGTCAATTTTATTGCTAACTAAAGTAGTAGGTCTTAAAGAGAAACAAAATAGGAAGACTGCTTCTAGGGTTAAACTTCCCTAAGATCAAACAAGAGATGAACAAGGTACCTGTCCTTGCTAGCCAAGAAATATCATACTAGAATGCTTTCAGCTCAGTATTCCCAAGCACCCGTATCCCCTTGACATTGGAGCACCATAGAAACATTCAGATAGAATTCCCACAGGTAAAGGATCTTTTCCAGTGGCTCTGCCAGGGGCTCTAGTCTTCAGCCATCTGGAGGCACTCTTTGGAAATCTTAAGATAATGTAAGTTTATATAAAATGGGTGTTTATAAGCAACAAGCTATTTCCTTTCGCCACTAAGGTGTAGAAATTTTCATATTGATATATATTTATAGGAGAAGCACAGAATCTTTTCCTAGGACAATGAACTTTTGGGGGGGGGTCTTGAATTGTGTTACTTTCCTTTTTAGTCATTACACTGTCATTCTCTTTTCTCAGCCCTCACATTGATGCCAGGGTAAAGAGTACCAGGATCTAGGTTACTTGTAAGAGAGAAAAGTGGTTTGTGTCTGCACCCCAGTAACGTTCATACAATGACAATACTTTAAAAACTGCACCCATAAAAGACATTTAGATATCTGTATTTCACCTGCTTCAGTTAAAACCATCTTTATTTCTGCACTTGAAGTCTGGCAGAGCACTTTGATGACAATATACAAACACTATGGATAAATGGATGAATAACTTAGCTAGCTACATAAAACAAGTATTTTTAAAAAGATTTTGTGTCTTAAATAGTAGGCAAGTCAAACAAGTAATCCAAAACAGATAAGACTAATTTTCCAGAGAGTAAGAGATTATTTTATCTGTAACACCCTAGAAAGGGCATTCCTGCTCTAGATGAAGGCCAAATGAACAAAAGATGTTAAAGTGCCACCCCTCATTACCTGAGACCTAGTGGAAAGAAGTTTCCTTTCCAGAGTCTGACTACTCAGACTCCTGACCAAAACCACCCACAGCTATTTGAGTCCATATTATAAAATCACCACATCAAGTCCTCAGTGAATATCTTTATCCCAGACAGTTAGATACAATCCAGTCACTCAAAGAAAAGTGAAATCACTTTTTCCAACACATGGCCAAACAAAGCATGTTGTGATCCTGCTAAACTCAGAAGTTTGGTTCAACACAGTTCTCTCATAAGCCCAAGGGTTCTCCATCCTTTCAAGATGACCACTCCTCCTTCAGGAAGACCACTCCCCCTTCCAGCTCAGGCCTCCAAGGCCCGTTCTTCACCTAATCTTGACACCTTTCCATACTTCCGAAGCCTCCGGGTCCACCACACCCTACCCCTACCCGATTTCAACTCTCCAACGGGCTCTGCAGAATTTACTGAAACACACACACAACCATGAGCTGACAAACCAAGGTTTACGGCTTAACTAATCAACTCTCAGAAACTACAGTGTCCTCACAAATCTTAGATTCCTTTGAAGACGCTCCTTTTGCTTGGAACGTCTGGTTCTTGTGTTGACCCTTCAGCTTCCATGGCTCCAACTAGCTCGGGTTCCCGTGGCCCCTTTTCTGTTCCTCGCTACGTGTTCTCGGCCGCAGCTCTCAGGTCTGTAGAATCCTTGGAGGTTGGGAGGAGGCCTATAAGTCGTCCCCCGCCCAAGCGACCTTCGGGATCTAAAATTAAATGGGCCCGGCGTCCCCCTCGACTCTCACTCTTTCATTGTCCAAGCCCCAATCTCTGTCTTTGCCTAGGTTTCGTGACCACCTCGGACACCCTCCGTGCAACCGGCGCGGCGGCCCAGGCTGCCCCAGTCCCCCGCTTCCGGGCTTTCCCTACAGTTCTGCTTCCGGTCCTCGGCCTCTCCCTGCGGCAGCTCCACCGACCCGCGCCCCCGGCCCTCCGCGCCGCTCCCTCGCCGGCTCTCACCGCTCGAAGAGCAGCCTCACGGAGAATACGCCCGCCGCCAGAGGGAACACCGAGAGGATGTGCCGGGCCTGCGGGTAGCCGTAGCCGTCGCCCGGCCCCTCCAGGTCGGCCCAGCTCACGTTCTGGGGCATCCAGAAGCGTTCGCTCCACAGCCAGCCCCACAGCAGGCCCAGGGCTCCCGCCGCCTCTGTCGCCATCTTACGCCCGCCCCGCGGCCGCCACAACCTCTGCAGCCGCCACAGCCAACGGAACCCATGGGGAGGCGGCCCCGGGGCGGGGCCGGGCCGGTGGCCACCCTCTTCCTGCCCCTTCTGGTTCCCGGCACGTCTCAGCCAGCCTCCTCCGCGAAGCCGGGCCTCCTCAACGCCCATCTCGCCTCCCCGCCCACCTCCCTCTCCGTAGATTCCCAGGACCTCTTCTAGGGACCCCGCCTTCCAACCCCGGCCACACCCCTTCCCGAGCCTCCCACTCAGCCCCAATCCCGACTTGGAGCCACGCCCCCTCCCGTCCCGCCCCGCCTTCGCTCAACCCTGGCCCCACCCCTGCAGGACTCACAACTCTAGTCCCGCCCTTTTTTGCTACCGGTTTCGGCCACGCTTCACCTTCTCTCACCCATTGAGCTGCCACACCCCTTATTTCAGGCCCAGCTCCCTAATGGGGATGTTTCTTTCTCTCAGCTCTGCAGACTCAAAGCTCGTCCCGCTCCCAGTCAGGCCTTACCCATCTCTCTACCTTCAACCCCCCTCTCACTAGGGATTACATGGCCATCTCAGCTGGGCCTGTTTCCACCACCAGAGGCTAGCTAGAGTGGTCTTACGAAAGGTTTAAAAATATAAATATCTACCTTTTGTCTGAGGACAGATAAAGTAACTCTATAACCAGTGTGGCATGCTTACCCAGAAGTGAAAGTGTTTCAAAGAGGGAGGAAGAAGGGAAATAGCAACAACAACAACAACAACAACAAAGTCATTCTAAGGAGTAGACTACTAGGTTTTCTTTAGCTCAGTGGTTCTCAAACGTTGGTGTATCCCAGCTCAAGCATTAGCTTATCCCATCCCACATGGAGAGTTTGTTAAAAGTTTCCTGGGCCCCACCTGAAGAGCTTGATTCAGGAGGTTCAGGGTAGGGTCCAGGAATTTGCATGTCTCATTTCTACAGACCCAGTAGGTGATGACTTTGCTGCTGGTCTGAGAACTACTGCCTGAAACCATTTTTCTCCAAACCCAGCAAGAGCTCAATGGTAACTACCCTATATTTAAGATACATTTTAAAAGAAGGACTCCCTCCCTGATGCCATGGGTGTTCAAATCAGAGTCCCAAGGAATAGAGAACATGCTAACTTGGCATGCAGGAACCAGTGCACAATGATCTTGGTCTCAAGATTAATCCCTAGAAAAACACATTTGTGCCATTTCTCAACCTCTTGGCTGTTACAAAACATATTTGCTCATAAAATATGTAATGAAAGCAAACTTGATGTAGCTTTCACTTTGGCCAGGAGTGATCCCACCAGCAAGATGGCACTAAGTTGGCTCTGTAGCAGTCATGAAGAGTCTCCTTAATCATCTCAAGTTACAAGCTGGCCCCTTTTCTTGCTATACCAGTGAGAAATTCACATCATCATATTTCCACCATCAACATGTCAAGTCCAAACAAGTTGCCTTCATTAAGTAGAGCTGAGAAAATAAACAATTTTTGCTTGGCTCTTTTTTTCCCCTAAGAATGTTCATTGTTATCTGGCCATTCTCTTGAAATGACATCCTTTTCTTACATTGATTATGGAGCTAGTCTTTCTACTTTGTATACCTCTAGTATGTCTACCTTAGCCCTTGAAAGATATGGAAAAAGTTCTGCTAAGTGTAATCTCAGTTCCCATTTACCTGATGTATGGTGACATATTCAACTGATATCCATAAAAATGCCAGCTGTTGGCAGTCAGAATTTTTTGTATAAAGTCAGTAGAAATTGTACCATGTGGATGGGTTAGAGTAGCAGTGAGTCACACAGTAAAAGTAGCTAAACTCAAGCCAGGATTGGATATTTTACAAAGGTCAGCAGGAGCTTCTGGATAACTAACTGTTCAGTGAACAAGGCTTTCTACCTGACTCCAGCTTGTGGTAGGGCAAGAACAGAAAGCAGGGTCCTGCCATCCACTTAGAAGACCAGGCAAAACCCTGAAAAACACAGTACCCCTAGAAAACATAACAGATAACTCAAAATGCATGCCTATCTCCAAGAAAATCCACTCTCCCATTAAAAAAAGCGCTTTAACAATTGGGTCAGTTGTCTGTATAGGCAAGGAAATCAAATAATCAACTATGCCTCTGCTCAGGGTGGAAAACAAGTCCATTTTCAGCAAGGCATTTGGAAATTCCATTTGGCATATTAGGCATAATTGTAAGGTAAATTATTAAATGTTAAATACAATTGACAATAAAAAATCACAGAATTTTGAATTGGTAAAACAAACAGCTCATTTTGAATGTATACATTAATTCTCTTGCCAAGTTGCTTTCAATTTTCAAGAAAAAATTGTCTTCCTTTAGGGAGGATGAAAGCCCCAAAACCACCCCAACACTACCACCAAGTGGTGAGATATAGTCATAGCACTTCACTTAAACCACATCATAACCTTTTTCTCTCCAAACTGCTCAAGTAGGTCCTGAGAGACTGTAACAATGTAAAAAAAAATAATAATAATAATGGAAAAGAAACATTGAAAGGTTCAAATGTAAATTAAAAGCTTTATTGAATAAAAATGTTTCAGACTACGCGAGATTGTAAGAAAGCAGAATATTTTACAACTCTAAAAAATACTAGAACTAAATCTCTAAAAATGAAGTACAAAGAAAAGCCTATAGCTTAAAACACCTCTCTTCCCCACATACAATTTGGAATATCAATTATGTACAACAAATGTTCCAAAGACTTAATACTAGAATTCCGTGCCCCCCTCCCCCAATAAAGGCTTATAATTGGTTTAATTGCACCCTAGGAATACTGTCTGCCATAAAAATCAATACATTTAAGAATTGATAGGAATTTTAAAACTAGTATCCTGGAAACAGGATATCAGAAGTGACATATAGGGTTGGGGGAGGGTCTGAGCTCAAGTGGTTTAAGGCATTTTTTTCCTATATTATTCCTTCTTTAAACTCATTTTGCTCTAATATGCAACATGGCAAAAAGCAATATAAAAGATCTTATTAAAATATTGCAGCTTTCAGCAAATTATGAGGCCGACACCACCAGAGAAAAAAGCAATCACTTGGGGTATAGTGAAACTTATTGGCAAATACTACAGTTTATTTGGGAGACAGTGGTTCTCTTCAAGCACCAAAAGTGCTTAAGAGGTGCTTCAGAAAGGTGGTTTTGTTATATCTCAAGAATCCAGTTCAGGATGTGGTTTAAAGCAGAATGCAAAGCAATAAATTTCTCATATATATTTGAGTATGAAAATTAGCCTAAATTTTAAAAAAGACTAAATATTTGATCTCTTAACAGATGAATACTAAATAATTAAATTGGTATTCATTTAAAAATATACAAACTGTGCCCTTTATACTAAAGTGCGTTCAGTCATAATGTTTAGGCCCCTAAATCCCTCTGTATGATTGAATTTTTAGTGTAACAATGTACTATAATAATCATCTATTTCATATTGCCTTTGGGGAATACAATAGAATCTGGGCTATATCAGTTGGAATATTCCCTTCATCCCTAAAATAGAGGATTTAGGTAATGTTATCTCTAGGATTTAGAGATAAGCTGCAGTATGGGAATTTTTTTCTGAAGCAAGAACTGTTTCCCAAAATTACTTCCACATAAATTACAGTCCATGCTACGATAACTGTTTATATACATCACTCTGGTAAAGGGCAGTGGCTCACTAACACTAGCACAAAGGTAAGGCCCAGCACAGCAAGACTGCGCTTTATCATTCCTCATCCTCATCCTCATCCTCATCGTAGTACCGATTTCTCTTTATCTGCTCCTCTACGGACAGCTCTTTGACTACATCTCCCTCCCAGAATTCCACATCCTGGGACTTCTGATTCTGAGTAGAGAATTCTTTAGTGGAGGTGTTGTCTGCAAAGCCGGGCCAGTTTGGAGACTTGGGTTCTAGTGGAGACTGCTGTTTGAAAAGGTTGCTACCATCTTCATCTAAGTTTGCACCATTTTCTACAAGATTCTCACTGCCCATCTCAAAGCCATAAACCTCCTTACTTCTTCTCTTCCCTGCCTCCCCTCCTTTAGATTCCTTGTTTTGCCAGGTTGTTTTTTCCACACTCCCATTCTTCTCCGAGGTGTTGGCATTTTCCAATTGTTTCTTTCCTGCTGCTATTCCTCCTACAAACTCCTCACTCTGCTCTGACATGCTCCAGCCCTTCCTGAAAGGTGGGGACAAGGTTTTGGGGCTCTTCATGGAAGTGGTTCGAAACGAAGCTGCTACAGTGAATGGGCGGCTTCTTTCCTTCAGTGAGGAAGATCGTCGTAGTTTCTTCAGATCCAGATCTACATCCTCTGGAGATTCAGGCTTGCTGATTTCATCCTCAGGAGGCCATTTGGGTTTGGATACTTTGATCCCCTCCTCCAGTGTACTTCCTGAACTGCCAAGTTCAGTAGGGGGTGGCCAGGCGATCCTTAACTTCTTAGTTTCAGCTGGCTTGTCTTCTTTCTCTGGCCGGGTGGAGGCCTTGGCTTCCATACTTGCGGTCAGCACACCCACCTTAGCAATGGGGGCATCTTCTACCCCTGGGCTCTGAGGCGTCTCCCCTGCATTTGGAAGCTGGGCTGGTTTCTCCAGTGTCTCTTCATTTTCATTTCTGCTTGCCCACAGATCCTTGTGTGGTCTGTGCCCAAAGCCTTCATCATAGTTCCCTTTAGATTTAAAGAGTTGATTGAAGTGAGGCTTGCAATAGATTCTCCCATGTAATGATGCGTACGTTCCTAGACTGTCGTTAAAAGAAGAGAGAGCATTAAGTTAACAAATCTGTATACTTTTGTTTACACCAGTAGGCCAAGATCTGGCAATTCCAGTATTTTCAGAAGATGATAAGTCTGAAAAATATCTTTAAAAGTAGGTCAATCACCTAAGATTCTCTACCCTTTTTAAGGACAATTGTTTTATTATACTTATAAAACCAGGCTCACTTCCACACCTGAACCTTCACAAGACATTCTTTTACCTGATTCATGCTTGTATTTTCTCTTCTTTTTTTTTAAAAAAAAATCCTTACCTAAGGATATATTTATTGATTTTAGAGAGTGACAAAGTGAGGGAGGGAGGGAGGGAGGGAGAGAGGGAGGGAGAGAGAGAGAGAAACATTGATTGGTTGCCTCTCATATGCACCCCAACTAGGGATTGAACCTGCAACCTTTTGTGGTATGGGGCAATGCTTCAACCAAATGAGCCACCAAGCCAGGCCTCAGGCTCCCATTTTCAAATGATTTCATTACCCTTTGTCAAAACTGTTTAAAAAACATAACTTCATCCAGGAGGTCTGGCCTAGGTAATCCCACCTAACTCTGATCACTCAAATATTTCCTAAGTATTTATAACCTGTAGCTACTTATAATGATATTCCTTTGTAAAACGCTGGATCTTCTTTCTCCCTGTGTCCCATTTGTGTTAAAATTTAAAAGCATACCTCTACAAAAATGGATACAATGTGCTGCAAACAGTTGGCATGCAACAGATATTAGTGACTGAATACAAGTAAGCTACAGTTAACAGGAGAACGGTGAGCAGCAGCCAGGAAGTAAGTCTACCTAAATGACAGTGCTGGACAGGCTGTTAGGAGATTTGGTGTCTCTCACAGGGTAGCAAATCTTAAAGGGGGTGTAAAAACAACAACATTTCTACATCAGGAATATAAAAATTTAAAAATTCAGAAAAATGTATTTTGGAGAAAAAAAATACAGTAGGGAATAAAAAAAACCACCAAAAATGAATAAACAAACAAACAAACAAAAAACCAATCAGGCCTGGCCAGATAGCTCAATTGGTTAAAGCATCGTCCTGATACTCTAAGGTTATGGCTTTGATTCCCAGTCAGGGCACATATAAGAATCAAATAATGAATGCATAAACAAGTGGAACAATAACTATTTCTTTCCTTTCCTCTCTCTCTCTAAAATCAATCAATCAAGAACCCACCAAGAGCATTTTAGAAGGGATGTTTGCTCTGGAAGGAAAGCTGGAGGAAGTAACATCCTGATTACTCCCTTCCCTAGACTCTATAATTAAAATGAGTTAATAGAGCCCTGGCTGGTGTGGGTCAGTGGATTGAGTGACAGCCTGCAAACCAAAGGGTTGCTAGTTCAATTCCCAGATAAGGGCACATTCCTGGGCTGGAGGCTAGGTTCCCAGGAGGGGGCGTGCAAGAGGCAATCAAGTATTGATGTTTCCTTTTTTTCCTTCCTCCCTTCTCCTCTCTAAAATAAATAAATAAAATCTTTAAAAATAATTAAAAAAATAAAATGAGTTAATATAGAATATTTTCCCAATTTGCCACATTTACACCCATACTTTGAGTTACTTGGAAGAAATGATAGAAATACTGATTATTTTCTCAGAAAGAAAATGAAGCAACATACAGAAAAATACATGCTTTTCAGGGTCTATTCTTACTGCTATTGTTACCATTTATACAGTAGTCAGGATACTCTGAAGGAAGGGCTCAGACAAGTATCCTCCTGAGATTTCTTAACTTTATAATCCTCTGATACTAAGGGAAAACATCCTACTGAATGAGGTCACAGGGGGTTTTACCTGCAACTCTATTATTTAAATTTCAGTTTTAACACGTAAATTAACAAATCACTGTACCAAGAAGTTCCAAACACCACTATCATGTGATATGAAATATTTGTCACTAAATGGTACTCTTTACCTTTTACCTTCAACTAATAGTAAACTGTCGGCACAATAGTTGTTAGCACCAATGTTCTAAAAGCCAAAGACTCCCTCCTGAGGCCCAACTACACAGAAAGATGGCTCGTTTTCACCTCGCTTACCTAAGTTTGTTGTTGCAATAGGAGCAACGGAAGCAGCTGACGTGAAACACTTGCTGGTTGGCCAAGAGACGTTCCATCGGGTAGACTGTCTTCTGACATTCCACACAGGTCTCTCTTGCAGGTGCCTGAAACTTCTATGAAAAGGAAAAGGACAACTTTAACTTAGCACAGGCAGTGACGAGTGAGTACTCTGCTGAGATAGGCCCTGAAATTTACTTTGTTATCTAAGGGATCCCTAACCTGGTCTGTCAATTCTCACAGGAACACTAAGTCTGCTATGATTCTATCAGCTGATTCTTCAAGGCCAAGAGGTTGTGCTGAATTCCTTTCCCATGCATTCCCAAGGGATGCCCTAAGTGTAGCAGCCACTGAGGGTGGGCAGGACTAGGGCTGGATTGAAGAGAAAAGCTTAGGCCACAACATACACAAAATGTTTCCACAGACAGGAAATTAGGGGAAAATATCACACACAACAAAAGACGTTTGATTGTTTCATTCAAGTGCCAAAGAAAAACAGGATAGGCTTTTATGAGAACAAATTCTAAAGGGGAAAATTTTCAAGGAGAGGAAGAATATTTGGCTTTGGGAATTAGGAAAAGACACTTTGATA